AAGCTGTACAGCCCAACAGTACACAAGTGAAACAGTTCAAGCTGTACAGCCCAACAGTACACAAGTGAAACAGTTTAAGCTGTACAGCCCAACAGTACACAAGTGAAACAGTTTAAGCTGTACAGCCCAACAGTACACAAGTGAAACAGTTCAAGCTGTACAGCCCAACAGTACACAAGTGAAACAGTTCAAGCTGTACAGCCCAAGAGTACACAAGCGAAACTGTTTAAGCTGTACAGCTCAAGATCACACAAGTGAAGAACCATAGCCTAGTAGGCTAAGTAACACCCATCTATCCATTTCAAAGCTTCACATGTATCCCGAATGCTAATCAACGCCAAGCTAACACGGGGAAGAAGGGACTACACGCTTACAGCGCTTTTGGGTGAGACTACATTTTACCTAATTGTACTTCAATGCTGTGGGATCAATTCTACCGAATCTACATTATAATGTACAAATTTTATAATTTTATGATTTACGAGTATATCAAAGAATCTAGCACAGACAATAGACAGAAACGATCGTAAATACGGCCCCACATGATAGTTAAAAGTGTAAAAGTAAAGTAAAGTAAAGGAATCCCTGTAACACGCCGTGGAAGCCCATAGGGTTGTGAGATGTTGAGGATCCCACAGTTTCTAGACAATCGGCTCATAGATGGAGGTGAGGTTGTCAGTTCTACGAGCCGGCCGCCCTTTACCTCCAAGAACTTTCCAAGACTATTCCTGGTACTCATTTCTGTTAGAGGCTGAGTCGACTCCAGGGCCATAGTGCGGCTGGAAGGTTAACTGAGAAAATCCAATGACCTCATCGGGATTTGAACCGCGACCTTCCGGCTTGTAGCATAGTACCTCAACCAACTACGCTACCACGTGCAATTGAAAAACACTTGTAAGTATTGTGATGACCAGTTTGATGGTCGAAACATGTCATGATTTCTAATAAACAGTTGAAAGGGTGTACATTCTTGGAGTTGCGTAGGCGGAACACGGCAATTAGATTAGTTTGATCACGCAACAGGATGCACTCTATAAAGACAACCCTTCTTCAAGCATCGCCCTATTCTGCCTATCTTAGATCTAAAGAAATGTCAACTACACGGCGTACTCTTTAAAATGCAACCCAAAGAGAAACCACGTGTTATGGTATAAAAATTAAGCCAGAAGCTGTTTCTCCCGAGTACTGGACTCAGCTTTCCTCCTGAATGTGACGTCACTGTCACCCTGGTTGCTAGAATGCTACTGTCGCCACTTGCGCAGAAGCTCTGCACGTGTATTAATTTTTAGTGGCACTTGGAATCGAAATATTTACTGATGTTCATGAAACGTTTCAAGATGAGTATCCTGATAATGAATAACCGCATGAGACAACAGTACACAATTTCGGGACACAGGAAGTGTCGAACAAATTTGAAACGTAGTAAGCGCCATAGAACCAGCCAGACCTTATATCTTATTACACTGATATCACCTGTAAGCCTGTATATACTGTTGTAGTTTGAGTTGTGTTTTAAATGGCACACCCTGTATAATTTTAATTTAAAAGTAATTAAAAACAAAAACATTGCTATTTTCCACCACACTACTTAGATATAAATCATATACTACAGTAACCTGTTGAATAATACTAATAGATATCTGTTAATGTTATCCACTTCTCCACACCCATAAGCTGGCACGTTCATTTTGCTTCGCGTTGTGTATAAATGTTTTCTTTCTCACTGTATTTAGCCTACATACCTGTCTGAGCCTGGACACGTGTCACGTGTGAAGTGTCCCAGTAACCTAGTTTGTAGACTCACAGAATGCATTGCAGGGCAGGGACCAACATAGGTATGAAGTGCAGGAGTTTTATTTCACTTGGGTGATTCGATAAAATGGCACATACCGAAATCAGACAGCCATAAAATTCGTGACTCGTATTCGGGAGGCGTTCGTTTCCTATTTCGGCCGGCACACCGGCTACCTGACATGTTTTTCGTGTTTTTCCTCAGGCCCTCCAAGAAATTCCAGAATAATACCTCGATTAAACCACTTTCGCTTCCTTACAAATCTCGTCTCATACTCCTGTCGACTATTCAATGACAGTTTTAGAGACCATGAAAGACACCTCATGAGTTGGAAAGGATGTGGAAGGAAACAGCTAAGGCATATACTAGGAACTACTCCGGCACCTCTGTGACACCGATGTTCATTAATATTATATTCCCAGGGTACGCGGTAGCGTAGTTGCTCGAGGCACTATGCTACAAGCCGGAAGGTTGCGGGTTCAAGACCCGATGAGGTCATTGGACTTTTTTCAATTGATCTAATCCTTCCAATCGCACCATGGTCCTGGGGTTCACTCAGCCTCTAACAGAAATGAGTACCAGGAATTAAGTAAATAATTCTCCTGGGGAGTAAAGTGCGGCCGGCGCGTAAGGCTGACAACCTTACCGCCATCTTTGAGC